ATTTGGGCTTTAATACATTTTTTGCAAGTCAAAATGGCTATTTTGTGTTGTAATGGTCCTTTAAAAGAGTTCCAAGCTGTTTTGTGAGCTCATATCTTTAAATTATGCATCTCCTGAAGGAAATCTAGTCATATTTAGGTAGAAATAACCTTTGAGTGACTATACTGTGCCTTCAATCAATTTTTGACAGGTGAAAACCGATTAAAAACTGCAAAACAAATAGAAACATGGGAAACTCGTGCTGTATACGGCCAGATCAGATAAGAAACAATGCAGAGTCACGAGGATCGTTGCAAAAGCTATCATATCTTTATCGAAAACCCTCCAGTGAATCATATTTATTGTAGTGTAGTCTCCAATGTCAGGGCTACACAAAGTCATCAGACCGAGTATCGAAACATGTCTGTCACGTAACTGCCGTTATGTGACAAACGTTAAGCTTTCGAATCTTTAATTAGGCCTATATTATAATTTAGTAAGGCCTATATTATAATGCAACTGTGTGTATCTGCATGTCATGACCGTTTAATCCAGAGAAAAGCAAGTTTACGGTATCGCTCAGCAGCTGCGGTGCGCGCTCCCGCGAGCTTAATCAGATTCTCGCAAACATTCACTTTTTCGCACAACACCGGAAACTGAGTGTGAGACCAGGGGAGAGCTCTCCCTCTCAGCTTCAGCGGTCTTCACTATTTTTCTCCGCATCAAACACACCCAACATGCAAATACACGTGGAATTCTGTCTGTTGTGACTGGGAGGGTGTATTTTTGTTAATTTACACTTCAATCTTGTTAATTTATACAACAATGCGAGTGCAGATTCAGAGATTTACGTCGCGATGTTTAAAGATGCATATCAGTCCTTTTTGAAATGCCTCCATAACAAAGCTTGATGAATTACGTAAGAGTGCTTTTCCTTGTAAATGACTTGATTCAGTTCAAGAGCTTTCTTTAGTATAGAATAGATGAAAAGCCAGTTATTTATTTATGCCTTCTGTAATACCTTAAAACAAATATTATAGATATTTCTCGCCTATCAAGAAATAATTACATGTTAGTTGCAAGCTGGAGAGTGAACCTATATATTTGCCTTCAAATGGATTTATTTAATCCAGCTGTGAAGATTTTAAAAGACTATATAGGCCAACCAAAAGGCCTGATAAGTTTACCCTTGAAATGCCTCAAACAGAACTTTTAACCAGTCAAAAAGTAAATTAGTTGTCGATAGTAAAGTTTACATCTTACAAGATATCTTCATTTGTGACACTGTTCGTATTCTTTTGCACCTTTATGCGGGATCCATCCATCCATCCATCATCAAGGGGGGTCACGGGGGGAACTGGAGCCTATCCCAGTGGTCAACGGGCAAGAATCCTTTATGACATGATATAAAAATTAAGTGTATGCACTTTTTTATGATTTAAAAAAAGAAAAAGTGGCAAATTGAGCCCATTGTTAGTGCATTTTTTAATTGATTTGTGCCATTTGCTGCATCATGTAAGTTCTACTCTTGTCCACACTGTGGAGAGCATCCCTTTCACACTGGTGTCGTACTTGCTGCTTTTGGTAATCACATGCAGGTCAGTTTTGTTTTGTAGCGGTGCCTCAAGCCACATTTCCATCAATTATTGAATTGAGTATTGAATCTCTTGATCACTGAAAAATAAGTCAGACATCCACTCAGCTAATCTACTTATGTTTCACTCCACTTGAAAGCCAGCAGTTTCTTTTTCCAAGGTCTAGACTTAAGAGGATACCTTTCGGCAAATTTTTTATTGTGTCTATCAGCTCATGTGGTGTCAAAGCGGGATTCTAAAAGAGTTCATTGTTGAGCTGTCAAACTTTTTTCCCCACAAAACGTCCGGCAGAAGGAACTCTTTTCACACATCAAATAACAAGAGCAAGGAGGCATTTGTCAAAGCTTCTAACTCCAACCCTTTCCAAAACTTGTTTGAAACGTAACTTTTTTGCCTGCTTTGTTTAACTAGTTGCCTAGTTAAGTGTTTCCAGCAAAAATCTCTTTTGTATCAAATGGGACTGAAAATTTAAGTCTTAAACTCTTTAATAGTTGGTCTCTTCAGACACTGTGTTATGTTGCTCATGATCAAATTGTGCAACAGGTTTTAAAAAGCTTGGAGGTGAGAGGTGGAGACAAAATAACAACCTGAAAAGGCAGGTCTGTGCCAGCCCAGGGCAACACCCTAAATAAATTCAATCATTCCCGAGCTGTCGCATAAAGTCACACAAAAACATTATTGAATCGGTACCCAGCGTGAAACTGACTGTTTTCTCTCTCTTTAAATGTTTGCTTTAAGGATGTGTTGGTAAAATTCCTCCCAAAGGTGTAGCTCATGGGCAAGGAGGTAAATGGATGACGGAAAGTCACCAAAGCCAGCAGACTATTCCTGTCAGACCGGTGCTCCAGTGGGTGTGGACTGAGAACTCATAAGAGCTCACTGGAAACTGAGGTACTCAGTGTGCATGGTGTGGGTCAGCTCAGAGGGGCCCGGGAGGTGGATTTTTCCCCCCACGCTGGACGAGAGAGGTTCAGGACAAGAGCAGTTACACAGTTGGGACATTTCCATTCAGAGTTGACACACACTGGAGAGGCTTTCACACGCTGTGCAGTGATTTTTACCGGAGTCAGGATGGAACGAAACGGCAAAGCTGGGCGACATGGTGAGTCTGTCAGCAACAAGGCACAGATTTACTGCCTAAATTCTTCTCTATTCAGGTATATTTGTAAGTATATACAGCTTTGTTATATATCTATGTCTTCAGAGTGGGGCTCCTGCTTCAAAATAACATGGGACATCAAAATTGTTTATATTTTTTTGTTCTTTAGATTGATTTCTTAAAAAAACATCTCTAACATCATCCAATTGTTCTGCAGTTTGTCCTGCTGCTGAATGAGCTGGACAGATGATACAATAAACACATTGGATCAAATTTTTAAAAATAAATGCCATTCAACCTTGTTTAAATCTCATGAAAAACGCGTTTCAAGCCACGGGGAGTATAGTATCGGTTAACGTTTCTGCTTTCCCCACATGATGGCGAGATTTCCCAGCTCACGAATCTGTGAACCACACGTGAGAAGATTCAGATTTGTCAAGAATCAGAGAAGGTGACGTTCCTATGGAAGCCCAATTCAGCCACTCTGATGAAAAAAACTAAACAAAAACTTGTATATCATAATTATGACTTAGTATCTCATAGATACCAAGTTATTATGATGAGATACAATTTCCCCACCGAGTTTATATGAAAACTTTCATTTGTACCTTTTTTTAATTGAACAACTGGACAGTTATTCTAATTGGAAGAGGTATCGCTGTTGGAGAGAGAAACGACTGTCAGAATCAGAAGGAGTCAGGCACCTTTTTGGGAGTGTTTACCAACTCAGCTGAAGCCACATTCCCCCTGCGGGGCTCACAGTCCTGTCCAAACTTTGGGTAGTTTGCACCGGTCCCTGCAGGGACTCCAGCTGCTATTACAGAGCTATGCGTGTGTTTGGACCCGCCCCACGGGGGGAGAAACTGCGTGCAGCCCGCTTCAACCTCCACACCGATCCCAGTTTAAACTCCGGCCTGACTCCGTTCCACACAGAAAAGTCAGTCCGTCATGTCTTGTTTACATAAGCGTCCGAAAAGGACAAATTCCGAGGAGCAGTCCTTCCAAGAGCACCTGAAGAAAGTTGCGCAGGAGAATGGAAAACGCCTCGGTGAGTCCACTTTCCGCAGGAGAGGTGAAAATGGGTGCGCGAGGGGTGCGCGCGTGGTTTTGTTTTGCCAACAGAAGCGGGGGGCGCGCGCGCACCAGGTTTGGACAACTTGGATTTACTCATAATAGACATAGAAACGGGCGAGGAGTTCTTGGACTGAACAGATGTGCGTGGCTGTGTGTTTTAAGGGGAATTCATCGCCCTGGGCAGTGCATTTTTTTACTCTTCCAAACAGTCCAGATATAAGTGTCACACACATTCTTTGTTGAAAATAATTAGATATGGAACATTCTTGTCTTCCAAAAGTGGACACAGACAACATCACAAACCTAAATGACCCCAATGAGGCTTCTTGGTGAACTTTTTTAGTTCCTGGTGTAATAATTTACTGTCAACAGCTGTCATCTGGCTATAACCCATATTTTTGCCCTGTTTTGGTTCAGTACAGCTCAAACCTCAGTAGACACCACCAAACCTCATTCAGATGAGCATCAGAGCTGTGTGTGTGTGTGTGTGCGGACTGTCTCTCGATGTATGTGCTTCTGTTCTCAAATCTCTTTCATGTCGCTACCTGCCCTCTTCTAACTTTCTGAAGAAATCCTGTAAAAGCAGAGTGTTGTTCGGCTATATCCAAATACAGAGCCCAATCCCCCTTTTCCTCATTCCTAAAGCAATCATTTAAACTTCATTCAGGGAAGTCTCCTGCCCTAGCCTGCCTTACAGCATGCTCACACACTGCAGGCTTTGATCATTTCAGCCATGTTGAGTGTCACTAATACAAAAACACACATTCTTTGCAGTTGTTGTTTCATAAAGCCGGTGGGCTCCTGAAAACTCTTGCTTTATTCAACTATCAGTCTGGTAGAAGTGTCCAGTTTGTGAAAAACAGGCTTCCAGAGAGCAGGGGCGGCGTGGCAGCCCTGGTGCCCGCTACCCCTCCCCGTCTGCAGAGGAGTCAGAGACTCATAAACAGCTCTTGGTGAGCTTGTGGTCCAATATGTGGAAAAAATGTCTGTAATGTTGTGATCCTGCCCACAAGCCTTATCCACTCCCAACAGCGTTGTAGTCAGTGCCTTCTCCTTAAATGCCCTCAGCTCTCTGCTGATTCTCCCTCTGTGCTCTTCGTCTGGAATGATGTTTTCAGGTCACTGTGCAAAGTCCAGTCGCACCCAGACAGGCCTCGCATATGGAAAAACTGAGGGATTTGTCGTTGTAATGATGTTTTCGTAAAGTGTCATAACTCGACCTATGAATCATTCCTCCAGCTGATATCACACACCCTTCCCAGAACGCTTCAATCAGCAATCACAGTGCTCTACTTAGTGGACAGGCTTATGACAGTGTTCGACTTTAAGACTGCAATGTTCACTCTGTGGCTGAACGCAAAAGAACAGGCCTCACTGGAAAAAGGGTTCAGGTTCAGTTTCGGTTTGAGAAAAAGACAAATAGTTCAAATCACAAGTTTGACCTGACTCACATTTAATACCAAATTAGGGTTTTACTAGCTGAAATAGTGCCAACGCTGCTTAGTGTTAGTCGCTAATGCTTCCTAACCCTGTTTACAAATATGGAAATAGAGACTGTTGATACTATCTTTCTTAATCTTCTGTTGTACAGTGCTGATATGCATCTCCTTTCTGAAATCATCTGCTTATTCCTCAGCTAATTTACATGAACTTTCTACACACACAGCAAAGACTTCACCACCTCGCTGCCTGATTATGCATGAAAAGGCATAAAGAATTGAAACAATTGGACTGCGGGCTAAGCAGATGTCTAAGCAGATGTCAGCATGCAAACACGACCTTAGACATCCCAGAATGTTCATTTATCCACAGCTGTTGCTGAAACAAGGTTATTTAATTTATTTAAGGGCTTTACTGTAGTAACGTTTGGTAAATCTGGACACCGGTGACATGATGAAGCCCGTGCTGTGAACATCTTTCATCAGACCATCATTGTCCTGCAGAGTGAGACTGCTTTTTTAATCGGCTGTCTTGGTCAGAGTGATTACCAGGACCAAAGATTCTCCAAGTTGAACAATGAGAAGTAGGAAGACAATCCCTCTGAAGACTTTCCGCTAGTTTGCCTGGTCGCTGTGTCTAACGACCCTGTTTGTGATTCCTGACCCTGTTTGAGAACATACGTCTGTCCACTCTCCTTCAGGTTTGGAGGGGGATGCTGATCTCCAGTTCCTGCTGAATGGGGGGCACCTGGTTAAGATTCGCTCCAACTCCTGGCAGAAGAACCGCTTCTACAAACTGCAGGAAGACTGCAGGACCTTGTGGCACGAGTCCAAAAAGTTTTTCAAGCGAGATGGGACCTGTGAGTGTCTTCAGCTTTTTTTCCACAGCATGTGTTTGGACGTTTGGAATGTGTGTTTTGGTGATTCGATGGGAAAAAAGGGAAAAGTGTTGTGAGATGAGGTTTTTCAGCTTGGGCCAACATATCTCACAGCCTCTCAAAGCTTCTGGCCTTGGAGTGCACACACACACACAAACACGCAGATGCGCACACACACACACACACACACACAAATTGAAACTCATATTTGAGAATAGCTGGTGGAGAAGGCGAAACACCCCACAACAGCATCCCTCCTCACTCTTTTTTTGTTGGTTTGCGTGTCTGGGAAAGAGTTTTTCTTTGTGTTGTTGTCCAGTGATCTGATACCTAGGTCTGGACCCCCGATAGCTCGGGTTCCATCCCATCCCAGCAACCACTGCCAGTGCTGATAACCTCTGCCTCTGACCCTGAGACCTGAACAAACACAGACAAGATGCTTTAACCTTCCACTTGTGTTCACCTCTAGTGTTGCTCTCGTGTTTAACCTAAACCCTAAGGCTAGGGGAGGGTTAAACGGGACCGTTTCAGACTGGCTCAGGGTTCACACGCATTTCTTTGCTTACAGAAATAAGTGTTTTATTGCTTTCCTGTATTTGAGAGCAAACCACAGTCAGTGTATGTTGGTTAAGGTAACACAGTGTGGGGACAGTTTGTGTTTTTTCCACCCCTCCTTAAACCAGGTTGTCAGGGTTTAACTACGGCTCAACACCTGTTGCTGGATAATGTGTCTTCATCTAAAATTGAACGATTACCCGTATAAATGTCATGTTTTGTAAATCAGAGGGTTCACGGTTCAACTCCTGGCTGGCAGCCTTTTTTTGTGGAGTTTGCATGCTCAAAACTATTCTATTGGTCTCTCTGCTGTTTTTTTGGCTTCTTCCCAAAGTTTAAAATGGGACATGCAAGGTTAATTTAAGGCCCTATGATCATGACTGTAGGAGAGCGTGAGCCTGCAAGTTTGCAGAACTGATTATTTATGTGTATATATGCTTTGTCTGTTTGTTTGAAGTTTCCTTGTTGCTCCTTTTAGTCACTTGCCTAATACTTTTCTTATATTTTGCTTCCTAGAAAGACTTCCCAAACTGCTCTGTGAAAAAACAAACAGCCAAATGTCTCGTTGGCGCCAGCAGGCTTTTATTCTGAGAGCTCTTTTTTTCACATAATCAGAAAGTTTTTCACCCAACCCTCAAATTTGAGAATTTATTTCTAGGTCAAACTGTTTGCAAGTTTATTATCTTACTTTTCAAAGGCATACAGTGCTACTTATTTCCCCTCTGGGTGAGTCACAACCTCATGGCAGATCTAAAGGTTGCGATGACCCGGAAATCTCAATCTGTTAGTCATCAGATGTGAATTTGAATTTGTTGGCCTGTATTAAGAAATAAATAAGTATAGGGTTTCTTATCTCACTGATTTATTACCCAACTAGTATTTTGTGCGTGATTCCCCTTTACATCTGTTTAGGTCCTAATATCGTCCAAACCAAACGTAAATTGACTTTAAAGGGTGTGTGCACACACATGCTGACATAGCTAACTCAACCCCTGACCCAATAAATTTGCTGACAAGTGAATCTCATCTATTTCACCCTTTGGAGAAAAGACTTTCGTAAACAGCAGCGTGAACCTTGTCTGCCTGCTACAATCTTCTCTTTGTGTAATATTTCCTCTGGTATTCAAGCAATGCTCTTGTGCCTCTGACACTGTGGTCAGTGTCTCCAGATGGGATTTTCTGGGTTTGGTCCAGTTTCACAACCTCTGCGTTGGGCAGTTTTGTTGGCGATAATGCGCACGCACAGATTAAGCTGACACTCCCCATCAGCTGAGAGTGTTTAAGGTAATGTTTATCCAGCAGTGGGATGAGGCTGAGGTGTGTTTCTCCACTCCCCCCATCAGTGTTTTTCTAGTCTGACCTTTAGAGTCATCATACCCCGAACGCTTTCTGATTCTCAGAGGAAAAAAGTCACTGCTCATTAGGCTCTTGGGATTTAAAGGGTATAAACATTGTGATTATAGGCCAGCTGTGACACATGGCCTCTAAACTAAGCCTCAGGTCTTTGGGGTTTTGTTACAAGGGCGGATGTTGTCATTTAGCGTGATTACATCATGCGTGGTAATGCATGCTCTTCCGTACATTAAGCTACTCAACAATACAGCTGACCCCCAAAGTATGGACTGTGACGTGCCGCCTTTAGCATATGTCGCCTTCACGCAGGGAGTAAATCAGAGAAATGTCGCCTGCTGTATTTTGTGTGTCCATTTGCCGCTCAGGTGTCCAATGTAAGTCAAGGACAACAAGCAATCAAATCCTAGAGGAATCTTTCGTAAGGGGTTTCATAAGAACTGTTGATTGGATTAGATCAAAATGATGCAAAAAATACCTTCTGTCATTTTGTGGAATGTGTTTGGTAGCTGGACATTTCTGAGAGAAAGGACTCTTTTTTCTTTAGAAATGTTATATGAATAATTTGCTCAGGAATGTACATCACAGGAATTTTTTTAATCTTCCTGGTACTGCTGACTGATGTTTTTTCCTGGTTGAGAAACTGTTTCAACTATTTTGCTCTCTCAATCAGTTGGTCAAAAAGTGTCAAATGTGATTCAGCCTGTTATTCCTTATTTACTTTTGTCCCCAAAACAGGCATTTGTTCAAACAGTAATAAACAGGTTTATTAAAGTTTTGTAGCTCTCAGCTTTACTGCTGTAGTTTAACCTCAAACAGCCAATCATGTTCATTCTTGCCCACTGTATGTTGTCTAGAACGCCCAAGGGGCTCAGAGATATGTGCTTCATAAAGACTTGTGAGGGAAGTCCACTAAAGGGAGCCACCATGCTGGAACAAATGCCTTCCTGTTGATAAGACATTAAAAAAAAACTCTGTTTTAACCACTGGGAGAAACAGTCTGCTGCCAAAAGATACAGACATGCTTCGGGAAGGTTGCTGCTTCAGGGGAAAACTGCTGCAGATAGTCTGACATTTACCTATCTTTGAAGCACCAGACAGAAGTTAGCATCACTGAAAGTAGGAGAGTATCTTCTCTCTTCTCTAGCTTGACCCTGAGTTACACTGAAATGCCAACAATGTTGTGGATGGTTTTAATAAGTTGATTTTAAGAAATGTTTCTGCTCCATGATGGTATGTTTGCACCTCTTGGGCAGGATGTGATTCAAATAATTTCGGGATCAATTGTATAGCCTTTAGGTGTTCAGACTTGACCTCTGCTAAGTCAAGTAATTAATATGCTGTGATGTCTCTTAACAGTCTCCATCGATGACATTGAATCTGTACGCAAGGGCCGCCAGTCTGAGGGGCTCAAAAAGTACACAGACTCCAGATTCGAGGACCGGTGCTTCTCCATCTTCTTCAAGGGACACAAAAAGAACCTGGACCTGATGGCACCCACAGTGGAGGAGGCAAAGCGGTGGGTCACCAGTCTGGAAAAGGTCATCAACAACTTGCAAAACCTCAGCCACCAGCAGAAGAGCGAACAGTATCCTTAATACAGCCCTTGAAAGGGAATCCAGCCTGAGTGTCTGTGTTCCGAGGCTTGTCTGTTCCTTTATGTCAGCCGAATCCTTACATCTAAATGTCAGTTGGATCATCAATTGCATGCGCAAAGCAGACAAGAATGATGACAACAAGATGACGCTAAAGGAGCTGAAGCACTTCCTGAGACAGATCAATGTTGAAGTAGACGACACCTATGCAGAGGACATCTTTAAGGTGAGCTCCTTTTCTCAGACGGTTCAACAACGAACCACAATATCCAGCTTGTCGTGTTTTTACATAAAACGATACTCATTAAATGCATACTTGATAAATGGGAATGTTTTTGTCTGAATGTTGTTCGGCACAGAAATGCGACAAGTCAAATTCCGGTTCCCTGGAGGGCTCGGAAATCGAGCACTTCTATGACCTGCTGACACATCGTGAGGAGATAGATGTGATCTATGGCACGTACGCCAATACAGAAGGTCAGATGAGCGACAGAGACCTGCTGAACTTCCTGCTAAAGGAGCAAAGGGAGAGGGTGACGCTGGACGCCGCTCACAAGCTGATCGAGAAATACGAGATGGATGGAGCAGGTAGATATAACTGATTGTTGGTCTCTCAGCGTTGCTCTTTCCATCGCCAAACGGTTGTGTTTACCTCGTTTCCTTCATTGCAGCAAAACGGAGGAAGCACATGACCAAAGATGGCTTCCTGATGTACCTGCAGCACGAGGACGGGTCAATCTTCAACCCGGCGCACAAGCCCGTGTACCAGGACATGAAGCAGCCCCTCTGCCATTACTTCATATCGTCCTCTCACAACACCTACCTGATGGAGGACCAACTCAAAGGGCCCAGCAGCACAGAGGCCTACATAAAGTAAGCGTTTTGCAACATCAGATAAAGAGAGGATTTCTTTACCGAAATTGAAATTATCGTAAAGGATTCAAAATCGGCGGCACGGTGGTGTGGTGGTTAGCACTGTCGCCTCCCAGCAAGAAGGTTCTGGGTTCGAATCCCGGGGGAACCAGGACCTTTCTGGGTGGAGTTTGCATGTTCTCCCTGTGTCTGCGTGGGTTCTCTCCGGGTTCTCCGGCTTCCTCCCACAGTCCAAAAACCTGCATGTTAGGCTGATTGGAGATTGGGGAAATTGCCCTTAGGAGTGAATGTGAGTGTGAGTGGTTGTTTGTCCTTGTATGTCTTGTATGTGGCCCTGCGATGGACTGGCGGACTGTCCAGGGTGTACCCTGCCTCTCGCCCGTTGACCACTGGGATAGGCTCCAGTTCCCCCCGCGACCCCATGAGGGAATAAGCGGTATTGATAATGGATGGATGGATGGATGGATTCAAAATCATTGTAAACAATAATGCTTCACATTTCAGCTGTTTATCATCCTGTGTCAATCACCATCAGCAGCGCTCTGGCATTTGTACGTTTTTTGGAAGCTCTTAATTTCAGTTCCCAAAGAAAACTAAAACTAAAATGTAATATTTTACATAAAGAAAGCATCCCCCCTCTTTAAGAAGTTGGTACAGACGTGTTTCCTTTTTCCCCTGCAGAGCGCTGATGAAGAGTTGCCGCTGTGTGGAGCTGGACTGTTGGAACGGAGCCAACGGAGAGCCTGTTATTTACCATGGCTACACACTCACATCCAAAGTGCTTTTCAGAGACGTTATCAAAGCCATCAAAGACTATGCCTTCAAAGTACGTGAGATATGGCCACAGAATATTATGAGGCTGCTCATGTCAGCTGTTGTGTCTAATTTCTGGCCTTATGCTGACAGAGACAGGACAGGCTCTAGGCTTCAGCTTCATATTATCTCCTCCTTTCCTCAGACATCTGACTACCCAGTGATTCTGTCCCTGGAGAACCACTGCTCTGTGGACCAACAGAAGCTCATGGCCCATCACTTGATCACTATCCTTGGGGACGCTTTGGTCACAAAGCCTCTGGGAAACAACATGCCCTCAAACTTCCCTTCACCTGAGGTGTGTAATCATGAGTCCAAACTCACTAAAACATCTTGTTGTATCCACTGTGTGGCGCATCACTGTTAATGTCTGAAAAAGCCATCCAAGGGGAACCATCCCTTAAAATTCCTGTTAAGTTAATAAACCACTCTGTCAGATTAGTAACTTTCCTGTTTACTCAGCTCTTAGATGTGTCTGGCAAAGGGAGCTAATTAGATTCAAATGAGGCCTGTCCCTGTTGTGTGAGCATTTCTACACACGTTTTGCGTTTCTAATTAATGAACAAATACGTTTTTTGATTTTCCTGCGAGTCGAGGCTAACAGTAAAATTACTTTGAGAGATTTTTAGCAGCAGGGATTTTTATTTCTACATAAAGAAGAACACAAGCACTTCAGAACTTGTGTCTGGGGAGTTTTTTTTTCTAGAACAAGAGTATTTTTCTCTGTTCTCTGACATTAAAACATTATTAGACTCCTTTGTTTGTCTTCCTCTAATCAATAAATTTATGGCATTTTTCCATCCCAGTCACATGGTTTTCAGTCCTCCACAGTAAAAACTTAAGAAGAGAAGAGAGACCAGAACTACCAGTTCTAGTTCCACGAAATGCCGTGGAGAGGTGGGGCATAGGCAGAGGAAGCACATGCTAAATTTAGATGCTGATTGCTTTTGGAGAACAATAAATTGGCCTTGGCGGCAGATGTGCGCTCCATGAGCTCTTGTAGATTCATGACCTTTCTTTTTAGAACTTCTGTAGTCATTTGGTTTGAAAGCGTGCATTTCCTGTGGAAAACCGACTACAGAGCATGAGAGACTACAAGCTCAATGCATGTATGCACCCATAGTATGCATGTAAACTGTAGAAGGAGAAAAGTTCTCTCTCCAGAAAACAGCAGTTATGGGAATTCCACATGGCTCCGTCCTCACATGAGCCTTAGCAAGAACAACCTCTTTAAACTCTCACCTCAGAGAATGCTGTTGCTCTCAAAGCACCTCTAACCTGGTCATTTCTCTTCATGCATAGCATGCCTACATAGTTGTGGATTAAATTAAAGATTGGCTGGCTCTTAAGAAGCTATTATTTAGTCATGCCTCTCTCGATTTAAACAAACTATTAAGTAAATGACAGCGACCATTTGTTAGAATTAGACTAATACGTCTAATACTAACTAATAAGATATATTTGCTAAAAATGTTTTATAGATGTATTTATAATACATATCTTAACTCCTACAAAGGAAACACTGATTAAATGAATGCCTGGAAATGTTTACCTCTCTTCACAGCATTCTGTTTTTCATGCGATATTGTATGCCAGTATTGTATGAGTAGCAATGTGATAAGATAAGATTTGTACTACAAAACATACTTTGGGCGTATGCGTTCAGGAGCTGAAGGGCAAGTTCCTTATCAAAGGAAAACGGCTGAATAAGCTGGATGCAGCCTTCACCAACGACAACTCCATAGAGGAGGACACAGTGTCTGAGGAGGACGAGGCAGCGGACTGTAAGGAGAATGGCCAAAAGGCGAAACCAAAGGTTGGTGCAATGCCCTCTATGTCTTTGTAGGTAAACTCAAAGCTAGTTTTTGTCTCAGATTTGATGTTTGTCTGTGTGTTCTTCATTTTCAGAAATCAAAGATTAAACTTGCCAAAGAGCTCTCAAATATTGTGATTTACTGTAAGAGCGTCCACTTCAATGGTTTTGAACATGCCAGAGACAACCAGGCCTTCTATGAAATGTCATCCTTCAAGGAGAGTAAAGCTTTAAACCTGGCCGAGACCTCAGGTAAACACTTCATCCAGCTTTACAAAGGTATGAGAATAAAATAGCCGACAGCAATGTAACTGACTAAACGTGTTCGCACAGCCACCGCCTACATCCATCACAACATGGACAAACTCAGCCGCATATACCCCGCTGGCTCCAGGACCGACTCCTCTAACTATAACCCAGTGCCCATGTGGAACGTTGGCTGCCAGATTGGTAGGATTTTCCATTTAATCAATGCAGATTTCCTGTCATATGCACATTCAATAGTTAAATTGAGATTTTCATTCACAATTCTGTCTGAATTGTTTGGGGGTTTTTTTGTTTTCTTTTAGTGGCGCTGAATTTCCAGACTCCCTCCAAGGAGATGCACCTAAACCAGGGCCGGTTTCTACCAAATGGTTTTTGTGGCTACATTCTGAAGCCTGAATTCATGAGGAATCTGTCCTCTCAGTTCAACCCCAGCTCACTTGCCAAGGGGCCCTGGCAACAGTGCAAGACTTTTAATGTCATGGTGAGAGTTTACCTCACAGCACATATTTTAGCCTGGCTAAGTCCACATAGATATGGTTTTCTTCCACCTAGCATCATTTCAGACCTTCCCTAGTAATGCAAAGTGTTTTCTCACAAAATACAGTGAAACTGTGAAGTACCAAATGAGTTAATGTACTTTATACACTTTATACACGTGGTATATGAGGAGTGGTGGTGTAGTGGTTAGCATAGCTGCCTTCCAAGCAGTTGACCTGGGTTCGATTCCCGGCCAATACAACTCCTCTCAACCCTGTAAGTCGCTTTGGATAAAAGCGTCTGCCAAATGCATGAACATGAACATGAACATTATAGCTGTCTAGTTAAAGTCAGTAACCACTCCACTCTCACTATCAGTCCAAGCTCAGAATTATCTGAGCTTACTTTTCGCCGTTATTGGTCTGTTTTTGTAGGGACTTTTATTGCTAAAACAGCTAACTCACGTCTTCCTGTGTGCATTGAAATGTTGGCAGATATGCTTTATTAGTATTTGTTTCTCAAAAAACTTCTCGAGTGTCGTAGTTTACATGCGTACTATTCATTTAATGGTAATAAATCACTTTGTATCAACTATCTCAAAGTGACTGAAAGACTGACTGCAGTCGACTTTCGGTTATCTTACACATGCAATGAAAGCAGTTGCAACAGAGATTCCCGTTTTGCTAAATATTGTACGTGTTACAGTATCAGAGGCGTTCATCCATGTTATTCTGTCTCTGAATCCAACAGGTAATCTCAGCTCAGCAGCTACCTAAAATAAACAAGGACAAGCAGAAGTCCATTGTGGACCCTCTGGTCAGAGTTGAGATCTTCGGGGTCCCATCAGACAACGGCAGCAAGGAGACGCATTACATTGAAAACAACGGTGAGCCTAAATTCGGTTTTCATTGAATGGATTTCCTAAAATATACAACATAGTAATGGCCCAGTATGTGTTCTTTCAGGCTTCAACCCAATGTGGAATGAGAGATTCCAGTTTCTCATTCAGGTCCCAGAGCTGGCCATGGTGCGGTTTGTGGTGGAGGACTATGACACAACCTCCCAAAATGATCTGATTGGGCAGTACTGCCTGCCACTCACCAGTGTTCAGAGCGGTAAGAGTTGACAGAGACAGAAAAAGCAGCAAAAGGGAAGAAACTAAACCAACTGAGGTTTCTTCTGCATCAAATGCCAGATTTCCTCTAAACGGTCTTTGACAGCTTTTAGTTTTAAGTTGACAACATGATTTCCGACGTTCTCCTTTTCCTTACACCTCCTTTGCTGACAAGGCTTAAACGTGCTTCCTGTTTTTCAGGATATCGACATGTGCCGTTGCACACCAAGCGTGGGGACGTCATTCCCTCTGCGGGCCTGTTTGTGCATCTCATGCTCCTGGATTCGAAGTAGGCTCATAGAGGCAGCCCGCCATCGTTCCTCCAAACGCTCAACTCATTTTGTCCTGTTCTAAAGTTCAGCAAAATGTACCCTAACCAAGTTCAGAAGAGACTTTTTGGAGAATTTGGTTTTCTTTCCGCTCTTTTCCCTTGCCAAAGACAGCTGCAGCCTCGCAGTTGTCAGTGACATTTCCTGTGACTTTGTAGTTTTAACCTTACTCAAAAGGGAGTTTGAAAGCCCCTGTAGCGGAACAAAGCAAGAATGAATGAAAATGTGGGTGAAAGAATGAATGGGGAGGTATTATTTAAAGCCAGCCATACAACTATTGTTCATAAACTGGGGAGAAAGTATTATAATCAATGTGAGTTTGACATAGTAGCTTCAGGTTTTGTAGTCTTTTAACAATATTTTATTATTGCATAGATCCCCTTCGACTTAAGGATACTTAGGGTAACGTACTGTAAATCATGCTCATGGAAAAAGGCATTCAGACACTTTGGGCTTTGCTAATATGTCTTAATGCTAGTAGGGTAAATGTTTTTTCCATCTACAAGGCCATGTGTGGGTATTTTTCTTTGTGTGTTTGTCCTGTTTAACAGCAGACTGAAATGCCATTTGTTCCTTATGACTATTAACACGAGGGGAACATTTAAGTGAATTTCTAAATATCAAAGCTTAAAACATAATGTATTGTTAAAAAAAGGGTTACAGACTGTCTGCATGTGCACTATTCCTCAAATAAAACCAGTCTCTTCAGCCAGTGGTCGTTTTCTGTGTTTATTGCTCAAGTAATTAGTGTTATCTGATAAAATACAATGAAAACTTGATCTGCGTAAATTGTCAAATATGGATGGTTACAAAGCACTTGTATTTATTAATAGATTGGAATTTAAAGTACTTGCCACATTGTTAAAATTACACTGTATTTTAAATAACTGTCATAATAATGTTTAAATTCACATCTATAATCACCACAACATATTGTTTGATCACTGTCAAATATATTAAAATGAAATAAACCGATCCCCTTTTCCAACAACACCAGAATGCTGCCGTGGTTTAGTTTCAGGAGTTGAATTTTCAAGACTTGTGTTCTGCAGGCTGAAGATGGCTTCTGTGTAATGCGGGCGTGCGGTCCTTCTCAGAAGAGCCCTGCCTTTTTCTTCAGGTCATTCTGTCGCCACTTCGGCAGGCGCTGGAAGTCCAGGCGAGTTGTGCCGAGCAAGCGTTGAAAGTCCTCATCAGAAAGGTACTCCTGCAGTCAGATCAGGGGACAGGACACAGTTAGTCTGACCTCTACTGCACACAGTGAGTCACTACAGCCACAAACATCACCATTTTGTGCAGCTATGTGATTTTTTTAAAATCTGCCTACACATTAGATGTCTTAAGATGCAAAAAACTCCATTTTGGTAGGACAACACATCTGCTGAGTACCAAAAGACTCCAGAATACAGATCTCACGAACAGTGTTCTGACTGGAGACTTTGATCAGCTTTCCCAACACATTAATGTATGCTTGTGGCTTTTGTGCAAATAAAAAATTCTAAATTATTGCAACATTTGCAATAGATTTGCTGCTCTACCACACCCACCTCTCTCTGGCTGGGGTCCACACCCTGTGGAAGCTCACTTGCATCCTTGTTGACGAGGAGCTCGGGGGCCAGATTCATCCCTCCGCTACCGGAGGAGGAGGACAGGGCTCTATGGAAGAGTGGGCTGGTGGGAGTGGAGGATCTGGGTGACATACCCACTCTGTGAGACCTGTAGACTGGAGGGGAAGTCATGGGGCCTCCCGGAGCCCTGTAACCACCTCCATCTACCTCTGTACGACCCTTACTCAACTCAGTGTTGCTCAGGTCCTTCAGATATAAGAAAATTCATACTTGTATATTAGTTTCATTGTTGCATGTTGTTGGATCAATTAGATTCATTATTTGGTCAGTTGGGATCAAGATTAGAGTACGTCCATCACTTACAACACTGATCTGTGAGAAAGAGGCCGCATCATTCATCTTTTTTCTTATATCCTCAAAGGAGTTTCCTCCCTGTTGAGAGGATCAAGTGAACTAGGAGTGAGGATTAACCGGCATGCAGTGTGCATTTCATATTCAAACGATTGATCAGATCATCCACAGGTGACTAATCTCATGGATTCATTTGCACAAAATTATTTGTAGCATTCATGTGCTATTTGTGGCTCATTGACATAATTAGGCTTTTTATGCAGTGAAGTAAAAGGTAGTGCCTTGATCAGATCACACTGTATTAGTGTATTAATAATATTCCTCTGTGGTGCCTCAGAGAGAGATCAAACACATGCAATCCAACTCACACTCCACTCATGAGGATCCCATGCATTGAACCAGCCGGTGAAGGTGAGCGGCTCATGTCCCTGTTTGATGAAGATGACAGGTGTGTCGGGATCGCGGCCGGCCGGGTGTGTTCGCAGGTACTCCTGTGCGCTGTTCCATGCCTCTTTGGTCTCATGCTCGTTGGCTAAGTTTCCAACCCACAAGAAGAGCTGAAGACATGCAGAGGTCAGGTAAGAAGGAGATGAGATACTGTACATACGAGGAGTGTATGTCCGCATGCATGCACAGAAACCGAACCCTCACCTCCTCCCAGGTGTCCAGCAGCATGACATCCTCTTCATCCAGGTCCCTCTGGGCAAAGTCATACACCTCAGTCATCCTGAACTGGCCCGTCTGATTGGAGCATTCAAACAGGCGAGGACTATGAAACGGCTCCTCCCTCTGAAGCCTGAAACAACACACTTTTTTAAGCTTTTTAGAATAAACTGAATAAAAGGTTTCCTTTTCGTTTCTTTTCCGGGATGTTGCCTTTCGCTGACAACAAATGACTGTATAGTCCTCTGACCCTGATCTGTCAGTAATCCAGTAACACTCTGCAGATGCAGATTTATGTTTAAGCATATTAATGGCTCAAAATATGATTAAATGGCCTTTTGGATGTGGTTGAAAAAATATCTAACCAACCAGATAAATCTTTCTGCAGAAAATAAAAATTCTAATAAAAATGCATTTGTATAGAGGTGAAAACATAAGACACTGATTCAGAATTGTTCTAATTGACCTCTTATCGCTGGCATAGGGGGCCTTTCCGCCCAAAGAGACCCAGAAGTCGGCAGGCTCCTGGCCCTCCATCACCACCTGCTTGTCCTGCCTGGTCAGCACATCGGACACAGCTCTCGCCATCACCCTCTCATCCCCGCTGCAGCCCTGCAGACGTCAAACAAACGTGCTTTCATTTAGTGTTTTTACTCTTTAAAAAGAGTTCGAAACATTTTTTTTTGCCTGTTACACAGCCCAGTGTCAGGTTGCGTACCTTTCCATACCACAGGTAGCATATCTGATCGGTCTTCAACAAGAACACGTCGTTGGTGTTGAGGGACGACGCCCTCGCCGTCACTTCGGTGGCTTTTGTGTTCATCTCGGTGGTCCCTTTCACCTGGAAGAGCCTGGGACCTCTCTCTGGGTTTACCACACTAGGTCGGCCTGTGCCTCCCTGCAGACAAACACACAGAGAAAAAATCGCGCTCATGTCACTATTTTCTGCTCTTTTTGAGTCCTGTCAAGATAATAATCCCACCATAACTGGAACACAATGCATTTCCCGCAGTTCAACCTTTCAGTTGCACACACATTTGAAACACATTGCATTTGCCTGTGAGCGTTTGTGAGAATCGTACCTCAAAGATGACGAGTTTGCTTTTGAAAATAGCCAGAAAGTGGCGGGGCTCCTTCCCCATGACCACTCTGACCTGCACAGGGGCTCCATTGTACTTGTTATCAATATTGACAGCCTGGTAGGCACATGCAGTTATCTCGTCCCTAGTGGCATGACGTCCCTGACGTAGAGCAGATGAAAAACCATTAGCACAACAGCGGGATTTACCTGATACAGAACAAAACACAGAAAAATGAAGGAGAACGTGACGAGACTGACCTGCCACATGTAGAGGATGTACTGCAGTCGGTTTGATCTCTGGTAAGTGTACAGCACCAAGTAGCAGTCTCCTCCGTAAAACTGCCCATATGTGCTGGGGTTTACTTCAGCCAATTCCAAATTCTCAATGCGCCACACCTTTCACGACCAAAAGAGATGTTTCTTTTTTTTTACTTACTCATTAGGGCCAATGTCACTGTGGTTATAAGTGTATATTTTGTCTTTGTTTCTTTACACTGAGGTCTTTTTCCGTACCTGTATGTCTCCAGAAGCATCATCCACCATGCGCTGCTGTGCTGCCAGATCAGGATGCGCATGGAGCTCCTTCACATCAAACTTCACTTGGTCTACTTTAGCTGTGAGGTACCACCAATAAATTAAATTACCATAAGTAATTCTACTGTTAGCAATGAACACTAATACAATTACTCTGACTCCATAAACCTAACTATGTTAATTAACCATGAAATGTTTTCTAAATCATTTAACAACAGTATTAGAGCTTACCTATCTTTCCAACATTGTAGGTTTTACCCAGTCCTTTAGTTTGTCCCTTTTCTGTCCAGGATTTGAACAGGTGCTTAAACATGGCTGACTCTGCTCCCTCGTTCATCACCTCCACCTGGGTGCTGGATGGGTAGTTTTTGGCTTTAATATAACCCTGGTAAATAAAATGATGAGAGATGATCAGAGATTCTGAAAGGAAATTTTTGAGCACGTATGTTAAAACTTGATAATGATGATCTTGACCATGATGAGGAGAAAAAACAAACAAACTTGTTATTCATGTATATTTTTACATGTTTAGAGTTATTTTGTGCTTGTATTTATCTCACTGTGTACTCACCATTGCCCTGTTCAGAGCTCCTCGTCGTTCCTCTGTTGAGGCCCCTTTTCCTTTCCAGACCATCACATTGGAGCCTTTGTGGTCCAGAATGTAACAGTCCTGACATCCAGAAAAAACAAAACAATGCAGTGAATTGGGACTATAATGGCCCTTGAAACACAATCAAAAGAAAATGTTTGAAGGGAAAAGAAAGTTACCGAGGAGTGCAGTAGATCCTGAGTTAAAGGCTGAGTGGCCACTTCTTGCACCACCAGATTCCCACCGTTTTCATAAACACTGTGGGCAGAAAAGTTGTCATATGGAAAACATATTTTGTGAAGGTTTGAGAAAGAAGCGAATTAGCTCAACAGTATCATCCTTACTGGTAAAGTCTAACGTGGTTGTTCTGCATTTGGTCGTGTTTGTCGTCAGGTATAGCGTCCCTCAGATGGTTGGGCTTTTGGCCCAGTGTAGCAGTCATGAGTTTCATCAGCTCTGGAGAGTCTGTCTCATGTCCTCCCTCCACAATGCCGATCTGAGCACGGCCTCCTCGCTCCCTGTCCCGGATGTCCTGCGCCAACAAGACTGCCTGGGAAATTAAGAAGAGAAGAAGAGATGTCTTTAAACATAATCTATATAAAAGTGAATCTTAATTTAGATTGTACTTATAATCAATCCCACCATCTATAATGAGTCCTGCACAATGATGAGGAACGCAAAATCCTAATCATAAAAAATGTCAAGCATTCAAAGTTTAATTGAAGAAAAAAAAAGCTGCTTAATAAATGTCTAACAGAAAGTTTTGTGGCATCTTGTGGCTGCAATTGATGTGAAACTTATCTATTGATTGCATCACACTGGTCATATCTTGCTACTTTAAGTACAGTTCATTCCACGTGAATACCTTGAGCTTCTCTCTCCTGTTGCTCTTTGGCCCGTTCCACTGCACAATGGCTTTCCCAAGGTCCAGAAGAAATATATCTCCATTATTAAAGCTGTTCCATGACACCTCAACCTTAAAAATAAACAGGAAATCATTTAGGGGGGACTTTCAAATCATTCTCATGTATCTAAATAGGCATTATGTGTCCTCCTAATCTCAATTAAATACCACACAATCCCAGCACTCCTTAGGTAATTAACACCTACAGTGACAGCTATGACAACAAGCATGCCATAATTTGTTTAAATGGGGGAGCCAACGCCTCCCAAGTGTGACTGTGTGAAGCCTGTGATGACAACAGTGGGAGGTGCTGTGAAGGCAGCACTAAACCCTGTTGTGTCTGAATACATTTTTAATCGGCAAACCTCTGATGCTGTGACATGCTTCCTCCCTTTGACATGCAGCAGTCGCAGGACGTTGTAGGCGTTTGTGTCAACATGGTTAAAACCCGAGGCCACTCCGCCCTTCTTGTAGCTGCAGACACATTAGTGTACATGACCAAAGTTCAAGTGTAATAAAACAAGAAGGGTAAAGACCACAAACAGGATGGGCAGAAAAGATGGTGAGATTAATTCTGAAATTTATGTAACAGTGACACAAAAAAAACTACAGTGTTTAAAAGGTTAATAAAGCGGGTTAAGAGGACACAGTGTTTTTCTCTGTGCTAATCCTCCAAAAAAACAAATGCATTTTGTGTCATAATCATCTCAAACAGAGGGATTAGAGCTGTAAGCCATGTTTCATGAGGATTACAACATAAGATAGATGAGCGCATATGACTCTTTGAATCATTCATTGCCCTCCTCACCCGCTCGTTTAAAGAATAAACTTACATCAGGCCACTCTTAAAGTAGCTCTTGAACTTTGGGGACTCGTAGCCGTGCACCTCCCTGTGCTGCACTGGACTCCCGCCCAGATGCTCGTCCAGCTGGGTGACGTAGATGGCGGCGGCACCTTGCTCATCCTGAGAGGAGGAGTTTCCTATCCAGTTGTGGATGTCAATGGACAGGACCGATCCTCTACTCTGGCTTATCTGGTAACAGTCATTAAATCGTGAGGAGAGACAGGTACAAACAATCTCAGGCTCAGGCTCTTACAAGCTAGCATTACACTCACATTCAGAATGATGTAACAGTCTCCCTCGAAGAAGTTGCCATAGGCCCTGGCTGGAACGGGGACCATTTTCATGTCCTAAACGATGACAAAAAAGGCACCTCAAAAGAAAAGTAAGATCTGAGCTCGAATATGTGACCCGTTTTTTAAAATGCATGGTGACATGGGATGAAAGGGCTGCTCACATTGATGGTCCATATCTGCAGGCCCGGCTTTCGACTGACATTCCGAAAAGCATCTTGATTGTCATCGTTCATCATTTTGCTGAACTGAAGCAAAAACCATTAAAACATGCAGTTATCGTCTTGTATGGCATAGAAATAGACTTAAATCCATGAAGAATCTTAATGACAAATCTACAAAACACAGACAATGAGTATTATAACATGAAAAGTCACCATAACTAGAGAATAAAAAGCAAAAGCATCAGATGTTTCACCATATGAGCATTTCAACTGCTTAATATTCAACTCGAGTAATAAACCAATGATGAACTTTGCTGACCAGATCATTATAGTTCTTTGATGTTATAAAACAGCCCTCTGCCCTCAGCCAAATAGTGGAGAAATCAAAGACGTTGTAAAATTGTAAACAAGTATTCAGAAAGAAAGCTAGTGCCCTCCTGTAAGTGTGTGTATCAAAGCATTAAATCAGATTCACAAATCAAATGAAATAAGCACATGTAGCTACGGTTGCCTAAGTAAGAAGAAAGAAAGCACGACTTAGATTTATTAAAGTCATCATCTGACAGCTGTGTCAGAGGGGTCGTGGATGTATGTGTAGTCTGAACTGAAATTGTAGACTGAAACACATCTGAAACACATGAGGACACCTGCTGTCAGAACTACTCAAAAGTAAGAGAGAAGAAGAGACTTTGCCATTCTGAAACGTCACCTCACTCTTTTAACCATCCACGACTTCCTATCTTACGACTGTAAACCCGATGTCAATATGATAAAAAGTGAAACGTTTGAAAAGATTGCATATCTGACAGAAAGACACGGCTGATCCCAGTAATGAGTGTCTGCCTGGCGCCAACAGCGGTGCTGTAACTGCCACGAGACGGAGATATCAGATACAGCAGGGCTGATGAGCAAACAGCAGCCAGAACACAGGCATGGCAGTGACAGCCTGGATGGAAACACGCTCACTTAGGTGCTGCGCCTCTGTCAACACATGATGAATCCATATTTGACATTACTGCTGGAGGAACTCTGGTTTCAGCTGCTCCCCAGAGAAATATCCAAGTTATAATTCATGACTCAGATTGTGTTTGCTGCCTCTAATCTTTACTACATTTGTATCTCACTGGGCGGTGATTGATGGTGGCTCAGGTAAGCTGCACTCTCCCCTTCATTGATATCTGCTGTTCAACTAATCTGATAAAAAAAGGTGACACGCAGCACCGTGGGTGGCCATTGTAAAATTAATTTAGCTTGTTACGTGTTAGATGGAGTAGGCTTGAGAAGCAAATTCTGAGTCATAGAGGAGTAAAATGCATGCCTTAAAGCTACTTTTGAAAAGTCTCCTTCAGCAGTTTGATAGGTTTGTCTTGTTTGAGTGCCATTCTTTCATGTGTTTAGATTGTGCCCTGGTTTTATTACAGGTGGGGCTTTGAGCTAACACTGACACAATACATCACCAGCTTATAATGAGCATCATGGCTATTCACACACAAATATTGCATTCCGCTTTTGGGTTGTAGGAGTTTTTACTTTATGTCTTTGAATAAATGTCCAAGGCGAGGTTACACCCAGCAAGGTGTGTCAATATCCCAGATCACATCATGAGGAGAATAACTGACTTTATCATTCAATCAGTGTTCCAATAAATGTAAAACAACTCTCAAAGGATATGCTAATAACTAGCCCTCACATCCATGTTATTTGATCCCTTTGATTAGGCTGAAGCCTTTTTGTGACAACTCCCCATTGTCAACATATATTATGCTCTGCAATCTGATCCTGGTAAAATAATTGAAAACCTGACCAAATAGCCGGTCAAAAGGGAAGCAGCACTGCATCCATTAAAGGGACAAGCAAGACCGGTTCACTGCCAATAACCTGTGGGGTCGTTCTTCAGTCTGAGTACATAATGACCATTTTAAATCCTTTGAACACATTAAATACATCCTAATATTTATATATTTCAAATATTAGACTCTGTTGGTTTAAATCTCTCATGAAGAAAACAAAAAAGAGTGTTCAATTTTACATTAAAAAGCAATCAGCTAAAAGAAGCACAGGAGAGGAATAAAACTATGAATAAAAATATTTTCTTACCTTGTCTTGTGTCTGTCGTAGGGAAGACCTGGACGTCTCCTAAAAGTGGTGAAGATAGAATACTGAAAGTGTGTGATATGTATGTATTGATAATTCTCTGCTGACCTCTCCTGCTTCGCCCAGCCTGGAGTGTGTGTGGCAGAGAGGGCTGGATGCATTTGTCTCCACACCCAGGCAGGGACACACCTGCAATTTCCTGACACGATATTTACAATACAGCTTTAAATAGGCCTCCCCCCTCAGCGCCTCCCAGATGGAGCGTTGATATGAACTGACTAATTCTGGCTTGACTCAGGATAAAAGGCCTTGCCAAGAGCAAAATATTTCGGATAATCATTCATGATGTCTCTGAAATTAACTCCAGCATCACTCAAGTCTTGTTTGTGCTTTAAGCAGCTACCCAGGGTTGTTTTTGTGTTTAACCGCGGCCCGCTGCAGCAAAGCTGGCACCATAGGGGAGCCACTTGACACCAATTATTCATTGCAAACTGTTACAACTAGCAGATGGGGAATTGGACTCAAGGATCTCTGAGTATTGGAAAGAAATCAGAAGCATTCTGTGACTGAATTTTTATTCTCAGAGTCTCAAAGAAGAACACTTGACTTATGGAAAGAAGCTCGGGGCTCTTGTGTGACTGTGGAAAAGCCTTTGGTGGCTTGCATTTAAATTTGTTTGTTAAATGTGAGAATGTATCAAGACATGAAGACATATAATCCAGTGTGGCTAGAGCACTTGAACTGAACAAAGTCTTAGCAGACTCTGGATGCTAATCCTCAGCCAAAGAATGACATAAATGTAAAGATACACAGAATGGACACCGGTTGGCTGTATTTGCAGCTAAAGATAATCCTAAACGTCAGGAAAGTGTCACATCTTATGTATCAGGACTCAGGAAAAAGTGAGAAACCAAAGCTCTTTCATGTCTTACATGGAACCGCTGCTACCTAACATTTTCTAAGTATCTTCACAATCTGTCAACTTCTTTTTTTGTACTTTGCTGTCAGTGCATGAATCATAGATCACACTACATCCATTACACGCGTCTCTGTCTTACGCTGCATAGTGCCGATCATACAATCTGTGGCAGGTAATCTGAACAATATTCTTTTACATAACTCTCCTTGTTTCCTTAATAACCACTCATTTCAAGTCAAACAGTCAAGCTTTTGCCTACCTTTGACCATTGGTACTTTGGTTCAGTCCTGGACTCCATTGCAAAGACAAAAATCAAATGGGCCGTGTTGAAAATGTACCGGTAGGTCCTTTCATATCTGAGAGGACAAGTCAAAGTTTCAAAGGAAAAAGAGAAGAAAAAAAAAAACTCCAGGCTGGCACTGCAAGCCCTCTAATGCCTAATCCACTGCTGCATTTTAAGAGGCTGCCGCATAAGGCGAAGCTAAAAGTCCACATCAAGATATCACATGAAGCTAACTTCCACTTGGTTATAGATTAACCTGCTTATAGTAGAACAATTAATGCTCCGGCACTTGTCTTTGCAGACGGCGCACTCCGGCAGAATGGAAGTTTTAGGTGAATACAAATCACAATCATGTGACTTAACTGTTGGGCTGCAGTTAAAATATGCACACTGAGTTTGCTCCTTAATTCTTACATTGTTCTATTTTTCTTTTAATGGAGACACTATGTTGGAAAGGGAGGCGGCAGTATTTTTCTGTGAGTCAAAGCACTCTTCCCATCCAGTCATAAGGTACCATGGACCTGAGTGCAGTCCAGCCAGGACGCCTGACTCCCTGTGTTGTCAGGTGTTAATGTAACATGGCACCATAACAGCTCCCCCACATCCTCCTGCAGCTCTTTTGACTTAATAACTGTATAATCACCTGTGTACACGCTGAAATACGACAGTTGGGTTACTGCCGGCTGGGGGAACAGATAGCGCAAGATAATACTGGAAGCTTTTCACTTTTAAAAAGTTACAGATTACACCAGAATATGTTGGGATCAATCTGCTGATTCGGCATAAGTGGCATCGTGCCCATCCTAGCACAGTTTGTTGATGCTCAGTTTTCATCAGTACGCATCAATCATTTGCCATATTTTGCTTACAGTGTAATCTGTTCCAATCGTTACCTTTTCCAGCATGGGGTCCTTACTCATGCTTAAGTAAAAATAAAGCCCTCATATAGCGCTGCTTTTCTGACCTTTTCCTTTTAATTCAGTCTAATGAACTGGCCAAGTGGGTCAGAGCGTGGCTTATAGACCCCTCAGACAGATAATCACCATCACTCAGCTGTGGATCTTTGAGTGTTGGGTGCAGTGGGTCACAGTGATTATTTTTGCAAGCTATATTCTTGTATTCATGAACATATTGTACATATTTGTGAGACCACACATGGGACTTATGTTGCTGCCAGCAGTGTATGCATGCACAGCAATTGTGAAAATCAATTAGCTTTCAAGCCCCTGTGCATGTGCAAGACCCAAAAATGTGCACGATAACACAAATCTCACTTTTGTTTGTGTCCTAAGAATTTCAAAAGACAAAACCCATTCAGATTTTAAGAAGTTACATGACGTGTCAGGATCAGTTATGCCTCTGTTTGGCTTCAGCTTCTTAGCCTGCATGTGGAGCTCTAACTTGCAAGAACAATCAGGATAGTTTTTATTGTTGCATTTTGGAATATGGACAAGTGGAAGCACCCCGTCCTGGCATCACTCCGCTGCAATTTTTCTCTGCATGCTTAGGTTGTATGTGTAGTTTAGCAGCTTGCTTTAATAATGACGTCAGTCTCCTCGTACAATTATATAATTAGATGAGGAAATAAATATGTAACTCAAAATATCACAAGTGTTTCAGTTGTTTCTGTCAGATATGGACCTGGGCTCAGATGTTTTCTTTATGTTCATGGAAGCTTGGCCTGCTGTTTATTAAATGTGTCGCCACAAATGACAGCACAAATCAAATATGTTTCTAATGTTTAGATATGTAGATATAGATTCCCTCATCAAACAAATAAGGGAGGTTTTCAAGGAACAGACACACTGTATTTCAAGTTCAAAAAATCTCTGAATAAAACACAAATTACTGCATTGGTTGCACCATTCACTGATGTTGATGTTGTGATGACAGCTGGCAAGACTTTCCTAAGCAGAAGCTCAGTTGGGTGGGGAGGAAGAGGAGATAGTATATTATCTGCAAAATCACTGAAATGCATCAACCCTGTGTGAGTTGCAAACAAAGTACCCAATTATAAGAAATCCAAATCCAAATTGGTTGTAACTGACCTCCATGAACCAAAAATTAAAGAATTTCTGATTTCAGATTACAGCAAATTCAATTTTCATATATAAATTGCTGTTTTTGTTATTAACATTGTCCTCATTAACCTTAATACTTCATGATTAGTGTAATCCTAGAGTAGACCATGTTGTGATAACTACAATGTTTGTATTTATACATCATTTTCACAATACAGGAACTTCGTAACTACAAACAACAGTATCACATTACATCTGCTCAACCAATCTGTGGAAAATAACATCTATTTCTTCGGTTGTTTGAACATCATCATACTGTGATAACACGCTGACAGTGTGCAAAGTTGCAACTTTAATCATGATGTACAGTACGATTTCAACAGCAATCTTTACAATACACCTGACACCCTTTTCTTTAATAAATAGGATTTCATTTAATCTATTCAAACTAACATTTTGATATTTTCTGACTTGTGTCATTAGTTTAACATTTATTAGTAGGACAGTGAGGCCATCACACACATTTAAATTTCTGTTGAAAATAGAGTAGGATTTCAGTTTCTTTGAGGGCAGTCAAATTACTATCGCTATCAATGATCGAATTATGTCATTCAGCCACAAATAACATTGAATTGTACAAATATTTGGTCATTTAACAATTCAATACAACTGAAATCACAATAGTAAAATCAGCTTGGTTTATCTCCCCTTTGATTAAACTCATTTCCAACTTCACTTTTTAAGATCTACTTGATACACTTCTTGAGATCTGAGTAAATATGCAGCATACAAATGTGCACCTCATGACTTGAAACAACAAAACCAGCACAGTAATGAAGGCACTTCATTCTGTTAAAGAGGGTAAATCACAGTTGTCTGAACATAAAACATCAGATGAGAAAAAACAGCCTGCATAGCACTGCTCAACACAAATGGAACAAAGGGATCACCCATTTGAAAAAAAAAATAACAGGGTTGCTCTGAGTAACTGATTTTTTTTTGGGGGGGGGGGTAACTAAAATATTACTTGATAGAACAATAAAACTGCTTCTCTCTGATAGAAAAATTACTTTATGTATGTTTTCCTCTTAGAAACACTAGTATGTACATACAGTAATATAATGTTTTGAGTCCTGTACAAAGAGTCCAAGAATCTACAGACGGTAAGAACCCATACAGCACTCTTATCTGGATTGTAACCTGCTTATAGACCTGAAATCCTCAGACTGGTGACTGAGCTGGTTGGTGAATGAGAGCAGGGCTGCAGGGCCATGGCAGCGTGGTGAGGCTTCAGTTTAGCAGGGTCAAAGAGGGGGTCACAGGCTGGAGCCGCTGTCTGCTACCTGTTCCTCAGGCTCTGTAAGGGACTGTAAATGTCCTCCTCTTTACTAAGACCCTCAAACAGAGGGATCAGATCCAGGAGCTCTGTGTCCGTCATGTCGTCAAACCAGGACTGCACTGGAACCTGCGGAGAGAAAAAAAACACCAGCAGAGGATTTGATTTGAGGGCGGTAGAAGGGAGAAAACTCGGCTAAACACAGATTCTTCAGCGCTGCATTATGGGTGAGGAAGCAGGACGAGCTTTGTGTGAATAATTAATGCAGAAAAAATGGATCAAAAGAAGAGGAGTGGCAGCATCTCCACTGAGCAACTTCTCTACAGAGGTGAAAAATCTCAGCCTCCGGCAGCAAAACTAGCATGGGAGATGGGGGGAAAAAAAAGATGTTGACATTGTGTTCCAGATTTATTCATTTACATTGCTATCTGTTTGTATTGTGAACAATGTTTGAACAGTGTGTGTCCCCAGGCTTCTTCACAGCCACCATTTAAACTTCAAACAGCCCTGCTTTATCAATGCTACGCAATATACCTTTCGGGTGGAAAAAAGAAAAGCCCTTCCTTTTTTGGACAATCATGTAAAATACCAAATGAGCCACATCCATGGCTTAGAGACAAGTTAAATGTGGAGGGATTTCTTACCGCATTCTCGGGGTGGAAGATATAGGAGGCAGGAGAGTTGTCTATGATGATGACTTTACTGAGCTTTCGCCCCAGCCGGCTGAGGTCTTTGACGTAGTTTCCTCTGTGGAAAACACAAGATTCCCTGAAGAGCCGGGCACGAAATACCCCCCACTGGTCCAACAGGTCGGCCACAGGGTCAGCATACTGGAAATGGAAGAGGAAAAGCAAACCTCAGACTGACAACGGCAAACTGAGGGGCATCACCCAGTGGCTCGCGGCTCAGGACCCACCTTGGCTAAGCTGGCTGTGAAGAGGACACATTCAAACAGCTCCCCCATCTTCTGAAGGAATTCATCTACATGGGGCCTCTTCAACACATACACCTTGACAGCAAAGAAACACAGACATCTTGAAAATGTTTGGCTGGGTGTGGGATCTCATTACTCTGTGGAAGCCGCAATTCGTCCGAGAGCCCAGACATCAAATACCAAAACTAAAAACAACATACAGTGAGTCCAAGAAGTATTTGATCCCTTGCTGATTTTCTTCGTTTGCCCACTAATAAAGATGTGATCATTCTGCACGTTTAATGGTAGATGTATTCTAACATGGAAAGACAGAATATCACAAAGAAAATCCTGAAAAAAAATCTAAGGAATATACATTAATTAATTTGTATTTCATTGAGGGAAATAAGTATTTGATCCCTCAGTATGCATTAGGAGTCCTGCCTTTCACAGAGCAGTTAGACACTCCCAATCAGCTTGTTACCTGAACTGAAGCCACCTGTTCTCACTACTCACTTGTGTGAAAAAAAAACCTGTTCACAGAATCAGACAATCTGACAGATTTCAAGTCTCCAACATGGGTAAGACCAAAGAGCTGTCTCAGGACCTCAGAGTCAGGGTTGTTGACCTCCACAAAGCTGGAATGGCCTACAAAAAGATTAGCAAGGTGTTGGATGTGAAAGTAACAACTATTGGTGCAATTGTTGCAAATTGAAAATTTAAAGAGTATAACATGACCATCAATAGACCTCGTCCTGGTGCTCCAAAGAAGATTTCACCTCTTGGGGTGACAATGCTCCTGAGAACGGTCGGAAATAATCCTGCAACCACTCGTCAGGAGTTGGTAAATGACCTGAAGGCAGCTGGGACCACAGTGTGCAAGGAAACAATTGGCAACACTTTGCGCAACAATGGACTAACATCCTGCAGTGCCCAAAAGGTACCCCTGCTCAAGAAGGCACATGTGGAGGCGCGCCTTAAGTATGCCAATGATCACCTGAAAGATGAACCAAGTTATTGGGAGAAGGTTCTGTGGTCAGACGAGACCAAAATTGAACTTTTTGGGCTCAACTCTATCCGCCATGTGTGGAGGAAGAAAAATGCTGCCTATGACCCCAAGAACACTGTGCCCACCGTCAAGCATGGAGATGGAAGCATAATGTTTTGGGGGTGTTTCTCTGCCAAGGGTACAGGGCTACTTCACCGCATCACTGGGAAGATGGATGGAGCCATGTACCGTACAATCCTGAGGGACAACCTCATCCCTTCTGCCAGGAAGCTGAAAATGGGACGTGGTTGGGTCTTCCAACATGATAACGACCCCAAACATACAGCAAAGGCAACAAAGGATTGGCTCAAGACACATCACATGAAGGTCATGGAGTGGCCCGGCCAGTCTCCGGACCTCAATCCGATTGAGAATCTATGGAGGGAGCTGAAGGTCAGAGTTGCCAAGCGACAGCCCACCAACCTTCCTGATTTAGAGAGGATCTGCAAAGAAGAGTGGGCGAAAATTCCCCCTGGTGTGTGTGCTAAACTTGTGGTTAACTACAACAAACGTCTCACTGCTGTACTTGCTAACAAAGGCTTTGCCACTAAGTATTGACTGTGTTTGGCTAGAGGGATCAAATACTTATTTCCCTCAATAAAATACAAATTAATTAATATATATTCCTTCGATTTTTTTTCAGGATTTTCTTTGTGATATTCTGTCTCTCCATGTTAGAATACATCTACCATTAAACGTGCAGAATGATCACATCTTTATTAGTGGGCAAACAAAGAAAATCAGCAAGGGATCAAATACTTCTTGGACTCACTGTATAAGACTTAAAAACTTTGAAATTTTCGGTTTGGTGAAGGATCAGTTCAGAACATTATAAGGAAAACAATGACGCTGTTATCAATCCTAAGTGATGAATTCTCAAGTGTACGTTTTGATCACAAAGACTCTCCAGATGGGAGCCCGATGGAGCAGATGGTTGTCACATAAAGCCATCTGGAAAGTTGTCATTGGAAAGTTTTGGTAAAAATGATAGAAGCATTCTGTCAGTCTCTCAACATCGTTAAAATGCTTTCTTCCAGTATCTGATCAATAGAGTTGATCTAGTGAAATTGCATTTCTTCTCAAGCTAACCAGGAGAGCGGTGTAAATAAATACTCGAAAATGTGTTGTTCTGCTTTTTGATTTTTCCATTGAAAAAACATCCCCCAGTTCTTCTAAAAAATCTGTGTCATCTGCTCGAAACTTCCAGGGTGTTGCGATATTCTCTCTTCATTATAACGATCCTGTAAATCTTGCAAGGATTCAGACACAGAGCTCCTTTGTAACAAACTATCTTGTGTTTAATGTTAAAGATCCAGAATACACATAATCAAACAATACTTTGGAATCCTATTTTCCATTTCTGTAGTTCTTCGTCCTCCCTTGTAGGTTTCTGTGGGTTGCTTGCTGCCACCAAGTGCAAGTAATCAAGTATAGGCCAGAGCAGCTGCAGAAAGCCTATCCTGGATTACTTGAACGAGGTTGCAGCTAAAAAACGTAATCTTGTTCTTCAATCAGGACGTATTTAATCTTCAAGGTGGACACAAACATTCTCCGCTTGAATTTTTCTCTGCTACCTGCAAATTCAACAACAGCTTCAATATGCTCGGGAATATTTGTGGTGACACAGTCAGAGCGCAGCCCATTTGTCTCTACAATGAGCAAGGACACAAAGGATAAAAAGCAACCACTTAGTTGTTTGAGCAGTTCCACTTTGATGCACAGCAGCTGTGAGAGAGCAGGGAATAATGAATACAGAGGGGAGGAAAATGCAGCCAAGTATTGCCATGGGAGCCCTTATAAAATTAAAACAGACATTAATATTATGCTCAGCCTCACTCCAGGATGTTCTCCCGTTCAGTGCAGTATTACCTGATGAACAGTGCCGTCAATCTCCACTGGAACAATGAAGTCTGCATTGCTGATGGGCTGCAGGAGGACAAGAGACATGAAGATTCAGAACTTTTGCTGGAAACAGCGCCAACTGAGAAGGAAACAGACGAGCCACACACCCACATTTCCTTTCAGAAAAGGAAGACGAGTGAAACAATCCTGTAAGTTGCCCCAGGCAAACGATAAAGGCTCTAAGCATAATGTGGCTCCCTGTGCTCCAGCGCTCTGCAGCTCGGTGTTAAATAAAGACCAGCAGGGATACTCAGGGGAGAAACAAGGGAGCTGAGGAAGCTGACAGCCTGTAAGGTGAACAGGAGTGCTGCCATTTCTTCTGTCTGACTTCTGTAATTTGAAAAAGCGAAATGGAGAGGAGGAACGGTGGAGGAGGTAGAGGAAGATAGATGCTACAGGGGTGTGGGTGGAAGACGAGTTGAGGGCATAAAGACGAGGATGAAAGGATTAGGTGGGAGGCACGGTGGTTGTCATTTTGGAGAGGGAGAGAAAGAAAATAGGTGACAGAGAAAATGTTCCTATGCTTTTTCAGAAACACAAAGAAAGACTGTTTGTAGTAGGCTGTCACCTGTTACAACAATTTGCTGTACAGAAGGACCAGGACTATTTATAGGAATCATTTTAAACTGTAATGACCTTGTTTGGATTTAGAATGCGTGGCTTGCAGTAGAATTAATTAGTCTGTTCAAGGAATAAACAAGACTGGTTAATACGTGCCCCTATTTCTACCATGCCAAGTCTTCTGAAATGTCTTTAAACTGCTTATTTTTGTTGTCTATTTGAATCAGGACGTGTGAGGGAGAGGTCTGAAAATGAATCTTGTTGCAGTTACCCGTCAGTTTCTGACTAAAAGACTCTTGATGTGAATAGGTTTACACCGACAATCTTTTCAAGGTGTTTCAGAGTCATCAACAGCACTGACAGCATATAATGTGAACTGAAAACACTTATTTTGTGTATGAAATGAGATTTATGTAATAATTGATGATATATAACTTTAATAAAAAACTCAACTAATTATCTTTATTATTACATGTTATTCATTTTTATTTGATCCATAATTGCTGTTTTGATTTTGAGACATATCTGTTTAGACTTTAGTTTTTTTCTTCTTTTTCCTTTATGCAACTTGCCATCGGGCAGATGAAACTCCAGTAAGAAGGCAGAGTTCAATGTCATCCAGCAGAGGGGGCATTGACTGTAGAATTATTCAGAGCAACACTGACCTCCCTCGTGTCATCTTTATAAAGTGTTCAAAAAGCTCCAATTATGAGAATTCTTTACCATTACCTCCTAGAAATCTTCTTTTTTTTCTTAAGATGTTAGATTTCAGCTAGTCAATTAAAAAATCAAAGCCTTACAGTAGATCAGAGCTCTTCTTGAAATCACTTCAGCAATAATTCCGTAAGGTTAATATCTATACCACAAGAGATAAAGACTGAGTGTGTGCAGAACAATAAGCCAAGCCATTGGCAGGCTGTGAGCGGAATAATAAGACAATATAACAACCCCAATGGGATGGGAGAGAGAGCACACAGATGGAGAAAGAGATGCCGAAACAGACCACTCTCTGCTCCTGCTTATTGCTCTTCCACTGAATCATTCAATCTGCCCCAGAATGAACAGTTGCTCAAAGCCTTGTTAGAGAGTGAAGATGATAGATATGGAAAATAGAAGAAGAAGAAGTGAGAATGGGATACAGGTGAGGGAGAACTGTCGGTCTAAATGAGGTAAAAGTTGAGAGGGGAGAGCTTTTTTATAATGGGTCTCTGAGGACCCAGAACTGGCCTGGACAGGGTTGACAGACAGTACTTAGCTGTGGTTGTGTAACATCCTCACACACCTGTTCTGGTCTATAGTTTGCTTTAATTCCACAAATAGCAAACTTCTAGTTGATTATTAAGCGTTATTGGCCAAATCTGCTCTGACATTACCTGCTCAACACAAATCATCAACTTTTCATTTGTGTTTTTTCTTTTTTTTTTAGCAGTCAGTAGCATTTCAATTGCACGTTAGCCTATTATGATGAGATTAAAAGAAGAAATGTTATCTTTTACTTTAAACTGCTTCACCAAATCAGATTTTAAAAGCTTAAACCTTAAAGTGAGTGGATTAAACCTTGTTCTTTCACACATTATGCTTAAATGTTTAGTAGTCACACACAGATGGTAACTTTATATAAAATAGGTGACATAATTGTCCTTTATCATATGGTATGCTATCAATAGTTTCTGCTACTTTGACAAATCTAACACATACTGTTTTTTTAATCCCAGAGCCAGCCAAGGAATTATCTTGTCATCCATGACATGCAGGATAAAACACAGAGTATGTGATGTGTTACATAATGCTTCTTTTTTAGCCCATGTCCATCTGTGCATCATCTGTGTCCCCTGTCGGTTGTTTTTCTGCACTCATTGTCCAGTTCAAGTGTTTTCAGATAAAAACGACCATATATTTTTTAACAATATCGTCTCAGAGCAGGAAATCTACAGGAAATCCTGTAGGGCCTTTGAACGGAACTGAAAATGCTGCGTTTGTGTGGTTTTTTGCCTCCCTGTCTTCCTCTCCAAACGGATTTTCATGTTTTGCATCACCAGAATCCATTCTGCACTGTAAACTAATCTCTGAACTAAAGAAACCCTGAAGTACTGAGTGTGTGAGTTCCATAAAATAAAAGAAAAAGAGCTCTACTTTGACTTTTTGACTTGTTTTGACAGGAAAGGGGGGAAAAAAACAATTATTCAAACAGATCTTCAGTTTCTGAGAATTTTATCCCACAGCCATTCACGGCAACAGTACACTGTACTGGACACACCCTTGTATGTGGGTGAGCACATGTCTGAGTGTGTGGCCCTGCACTGCTGGCATGTGATCATGATGGGTGTGTACATATTTCTGTTTTTTTCTCGACTTTCCACAGCAAATGAGGAATTGAATTTCAAGTCACATGAAAATGTCCTGAATTGTTTTTTTCTCTGCATTTATTTTTTTGGGGGAAGTAGTTCCCCTTTACTGTCAAATGAAGGCCGGACAAAAAAGGTTCTTCATCTTGCATTTTGTTGGAAACCTCACTGTGTTTGTCATCTCTACAGCACTTTTGTTGAGGACAAAAGCACTCAGGCGCTGATACACTACACACAGACATATCGGCTGAGGCCGAGGTGGAGTGGTGCTGAAATGAGTCACTATGTATGCAAGGTTTTTCAGTACTGAGAATAAGAGTCATTAGCACAGACGCTGTAGAGTCCTACAGTTAATTAGGTTTTTATCTATGAGCATCTGTAATAGAGTATTCACTGTCCAAGGAAGAAAACATTTAGCAAAGGTTAACCTAAAACTGTGGAGAAATACCTACAATATTTGTGTCGAAACAAATAATCTTTTGAGTCATATTTGAGGCCACATCCAAAGCTTTGTAGGACAATACATAAAATAGGTTTAACTTATTAGAAATTCTATTTTGCAATCAGTACTGCCAAGAGAAAAGAAGGAATAACCAAATAACCTCAAACTAGTTTATAAAGCAAGGTTTAAATGATGTTTTTTATGGGTGGCAAGGAGTTATTGGCGTGCAACAGTTTTTTGAAACAGCAACTCCATATAATGTATATAATAGAGCATTTTTAAAGAAATGTGTCCACGTTTTGTGCTAAGAAACCTTGAAAACATTTTGTTCAAATTGATTGCAAGGGCCAAATGATAAAAAAAATGGTCAAATGGACGTCAAGTGATGGAGATCTTTTCTACCTGGATTATCTTTTAGGAAAGCAAGTAAAAGAAGATGCGTTGCAAACACTATGAAAATATCAATGGCTCCTTTAGTAGATAATGTCTAAAGGCGTTAACCATGAAGGACAGACATATTTGTGTTTATGATGGAATAGAGCTCAGTGGAAAATTAAATGACCTTCTTCTAAAGTGCTTCAATATTTTTCTTCTTGCAAAAAATTCAAAATTGCCCCAAACAAAATCTTATGTGTATAATAAGAGTGGTACTGTGCTATGATTCCACTGTACCTTGAAGGAGCTGTGTACAAGGGTTTCGTCCAGGTCGATCACCACGCAGTTCTTATTGTCGTCTGCTATACTGACCTCCGGCAGAAGGAACTTTGCTGGAGGCTGTAGGAACACACAAAAACATTTTACAGCATTAATTACTGTATGTGGAAAGGCACAACCAAGAGGACACGCATTCCCACACACTCACGCCGAGGGTGAGATGCTAGCTCGGTTAGAGAGCTGGACGTGATCACTTTGGCAGCTGTGGCTGCACGGTGCAATTCACAGCATTAAGCGCCCGCAGGAGGGTGTTCTTCTGAATCTGTGGAGATTCGATTATACTGCCAAGAGATTAATTATCTGATAACTTGATATGAAGCTTATCCGTGAATTTGCTTGTTTTAATATCTTTAATGTGCTAATTTATTTGATTTAAGTGCATGTTATGCAATCTGGTGTTTAATATCCTTCAATTTGTAGCTTCTACAACACTGTGTTTAACATCCCTAATTCAGCTACTAATAGTTAGATTGCTGGACCCATATTCTTTGCTTCATTATATAGCCTGGCTACCTGTTAGTATTCTTTGGACAATCTGCAATTGCTGAGGTCTCTGACTGTGATGCCTTTAGGGTCAGTGAGAGAGGAGAAACATTTTTGCCCTTTGCCAAGAAGGCCTGGGGTCTGACACAGGCGTGGGACAGATGGCGCGGCCACAGGGGGCACGCACCCACACTCCATTCACACCAATGCATTTGCGCACACATATATGCACGGACACACAAATTTATACAGAGGTGAGAAACAAGGACTCTGTCCATCTTCCCCAGACTCACCCACCAGTGAGCTGCATTCCAGGGATTTCCTCCGTGTATCTGTGTTTAGGTGTGTTTTTCCCAGGCCGACTGTATTTATCGTGTCTTATCGCACTGCGTGCTGACGTATCAGAAAGAATTCCCTTTGAGCAAGGACATTGAATGGCACGTTGTCAAGCTGTAATTGATGTGATTTACTCATGCAGGTTGAGCAAATAAAAGGTTTGACTAGGACCTTGCTTTTTTCTCCAAGCAGCAGCATCATCACATTAAAAGCAAACCCATGTTCAAGTGACAGCAAGGAGGTGCTATTTAAGTCTGGTCCCAGCATGATATGTTGACTAGCAAGGAACTGACCAATACTGGTATGACACATTGTCGACAATGAGGTCACCACGTACAAAATAGAACTGCAGGAATCTTCTGGAAAAATGTGATGTAACGTGAAATGTATCAGGTTGGATGTAAACGTTAAAAGCTCCCTGTACACAACATACCATAGATTACATGCAATTTTGAAGGGGTTTTCAGAGTTAAAACCAAGTAAAACTGTACTGTACTGTATCATGGGAACTTGTTTTCACCACAGAAGCTGGTAAAACTACTTAGTATGCTCCAGACAGAAATCATATGACAGAATCAGTAATGAAATAAAGTTTAATTTGGTTACAGTTAGTCATGAATACTAATGCTAGCATGCAATTTAATTCAAACATTAACTTTGCATAATGTCACTCATTTAATAGCATGCTGGCTTTCCATTACCAAAATAAATTTGTGATAGTCGCAATAACTACCTCATTGTGACATTGAGGTAGTCTGAAGCTACATTCAGATACAGAGTTATTAGTAAACAGGTTCTTCTCTTATAGTGATATCATGAAGATTGACAGTTGACCCAAAAACTAATCTTGGAAATTAAGAGAATTAGTAGAAGCATAAAATATAGTTTTTACTTGTCATTTATTATCACTATTACTGTTATCTCTGACTAATATTATTGACTCTTCTATCTTCACATTTAACAAATGCTCCTACGACAAATGGTTATATTCTATATTTTAGTATTCATATTCTGTTAATGCAAAGTAGCAAAGAAATGCTTGAAGGAAAATACAGTTAGGATAAGCTGCTATTCACCATGTAACGATGCTTTTGGTGAGTATTTTTCACACAAGTGTGTAATGTAAAATGCTGTATTTACCGTAGCTATTTTTTACACTAACACAAACAGCCAAACAATATTTGATGGGGCAGACACATTAAAATGTTGATCATAACAGTATGTGACAGTAACCGGTGACAGGCATATGATATTTCCAGCCGAGTTTGAATTATTTTAGTCACAACTCGTAATTCCCGTAACCCACACAACACAAAGAACAGGCCTTATCGCCAAATGCATCCCCACTTCTGTAGAGAGGAGTCTGCTGATTGGTGGAGTTTAAAGCTTGGCTGTGATGTGGCACGCTGCGAGTGTGAATATTCTAAATTACAGTAAACCACGGGGACTGCGTACATTTCAAAATAGTCTAATGAATTGCAGTTTCAGCACTGAGAGCAGGAATCAGATAAATCCAGCTTCCCAGTGAATATCTAATAAACTCTTTCCAAATAGAGGGACTGTAGTCTATTGACCCCACATTGCATAATCTTAGTGTAAACATTCTCCATCAAATATACAATCTAATCTGAGAACAGCCATCCATTTCCATGCTTTACATTCAGAAAGGGATAAACAGACACTGCCACAAATAATTATGTGATAGTAAATGTGGGTGCATTACTTTTTTCAATCAGTTACGTGATTGGGGAGCAAGCGGTTCAAAGAAAAGCCTTGAAAAGCAAATGATCAATGACAGAGAGCAAAACTTCATCTGCCAGCAAAGAAAAATCACCTCCGTGTCAACAGCCACATTCTGCTAAGATGATGAAGTACATCAAGCACAGGAGGAAGGTTACTGTGATGGAGTGGGATGAAATAAAACTAAGGATAATAATACATACACTGGGTATAGGGATGACCTGGACCTGGTCAAACTGGAGAAAATAAAAAGAGAGAGAGATTTTGAGAGACACAGTTGGTAAAAAAACAAAAAAAAAGTGAATGGGGCTAAATCAAAAACATCAATATTTTAATCAACAAAGGCAGGAGGATAGGAGGGAGGTGAGAGACAGAGGAAAGGGATATACAGTTTAGTACACATTGTGGGAGACAGAGAGAAGAAGTCAAAAACAAACAGAGCTGCCATAGTAACAAATATGGCTGGCCAGAAATCTAGCAGCGCTACACTTCTGGGAGGGGCTGCAGGCACGAACCCAGTATGAAAATCAGCCTAGCGCTTTAACAAGGCTTTTTATGGCGAGGTTTGCTAGGTTCAGTCCGGATTAATGGGAACTCATTTGCTAAGGAGAGGTCCAGAGCGGGTCAGCGGTGACCACATGTACGGCGTCTGTAAAGGGCCACAGATTTCTCCCGTGAATGAGACATTTAAAGGTAAACAGGGCTGGAAATGGGATAGGACCCTGCTCCATTTTTAGCCCTGTGTACCTGCCTTGGCAGCGGAACACTATGTCTGCAGAGGAGCTCCAGGGTTTGGCGCCTTTTCCACAGCCAGAACGTTCTCTTCACACATCCTCACTACACTGGACATGTGTACAAGGAGTGGGGGCGGCGTGGGTGCCAGGCAATCCATCATACCGGACATACACAAAGCCTACTTTATAAGGATTAGAGTGCAGCAGTTTGAGTGCATGTCTGTGTCCATCCATGTGTTGTCATGGTAAGACTTTTGAACTCTGGTGCCTCAAAGACCCAGTGAGAGTGTGTGTCCTCAGAGCTTCGCAGCGTGCTCGGCACTGTGTGTTTTGTGAGCGGGTTTGTGTGTAGGCCGATATTGAAGAATGCAAGATGGGAAGTGAGCCCATATTTTCAAGCAGTAGATGGTAAACAACCTCTGGGTTCAACGGGTTTGAAGCAGCTGGAAAAATTTGTGGAGGGAGCTCAGTGAGGCAGTGCCTCGGCTCTCTGCAAAAAAAAAAAAAAAAAAAAAGCAAACCATAACAAGCCTCGCTGTAACAAAACCAAACCAACGCTACTCTTTACTGAAGTTCTATGGTCAGGTCCTTGGATTTTTGTTTTCGAATGTGAAGTGATTCTCAAAAGGTCTGTTTGATTCTCTGGATTTAAATGGTATGTTACTTGGACTCGAGCCAACGCTGTAAAAGGAGCTGTACCTTGGGAGGACTGCCGTTCTCCTCCGGTGGAGGGGGTAGACAAAGTGTCTTGTTGTTGGTGGGTGGTGGCTCCACGTGGTAGTCATTGTAGTTACGGAAGCAGCAAAAGAAGGGGCTAAAAATGCTCCGACTCCGGTGCTTCTTTAAGCTGCTGTTAGACTGGGAGACTGGAAGGAAAGAACACAAACAGAAAGAGACAGCACTGTTACAAAAGACTCCTCTACATACGCCTGCCAACAGTGTTATTCTGGTATTCACTTCAGAGCAGACACACAGCTCAAGGAATGTCTTGTTGTGAGAAAAACGAGGTTGCGGATACAGCGAAAAAACATAATTAGATTTGAAATAATTTTAAATGGCTGGGAAATGACTGCTTATTTTGAACCAACAGAAATGGAAAACATTGTTTCAAATATTTAAAAGATTAGATGCAATGTCTTCATTAGTGAGATTACAACCGACTACGGAATATTTCCAGAATATGGGCAGCACCAGCCGTTCTCAGTGTGTAAGCCCAATACTTTGTCAAAGTCAGACATACCTGTGTATAAATTCAATTTCAGTTATGCTTTTGTCAGAGCAGCAATAATAACATATGGATTTCTCCAAACTCTCAAACATTCACCATGTTCTGACCGGGAGCATGTGCCAACACACAGTATTGATCGATTGCTTTCTAGTGATATTGTCAAACACGAAAGGAAAATATATAGAAGAAAACGGCTTATTTCAGAATTTTGCTCTATTAATTTACAGTTCATGTCAGCTAAATAGGAGAGATGGAAAAGCAAACAGATAGTAGGCCGGTACAAAGCAAAATGCAAATGCAACAGTGACCGTGATGACTGACAAGACCCACAATGATTTCAGGGTCATGTCACCATGGGAACTGAAGATAAATAACACGCTCTGCACCAACAACCGATCTGTGTACTGGTATCAAACTCCTGCTCGTGTGATGGGACCACACTGTAATCACACCAGATGAAAACAAGCGCGTTAAGGTTTTCCTCTGCTTATTTTGTCTGAAAACAAGCACTTGGCTTTTATTTAGGGGCCAACTGAGCCTTGCTACAACTGCCTCCCCATAAACTTGCCCTCCACAGTATGCCTGCCTTGTACTAAATACTAACTGAATAAAAACAAGCGTCACTTCCAATGCAAAGCATAAAAAAAGCTTGGGCTATCTCAATGAACCATCACAAAGAGCCCCTATTATTTCGGTGTAATTCTGTTTAGTAGTGGTATTCACATGAGTGGAGAACTCCTCTATCGCTACAAACACATGTGGTTTAAAGCACGAATTCCACCAGATTAGATTTATCTTAAAAATGCAAAACATAAATTGCCAACAAAGCTGCAAAACAGATGAGGTCAAATCTCAGCAACGGTTTGATCTCTCAAAAGGACCCTTGAAATGCGGATTTAAAACCTTAACTTAAGGAAGCATCAATTATTTGGCTGCACTTTGATATATCCGATAAGCTTCTGCTTATATTCAAGCAACTTTAGTATTCTATTTTAACAAGTGAGTCACAACAGTGTCTTTTCTCTGAATCTGTAATTTGCTGTTTCACATCTAGAGGAAAAATATAATACATAACACTCAGAGCTGCAGAAAGTCTCCGTTTCACACGCATCACTGCGTTGTCGTGACAATGTGTATTGTGTCTATATGTGTATGCGTGCCCTTATATTGTTGTAAAGCATTTCTGTTAATCAGACCGTAATGCAACTACAATTGTTTTGCTCGGTAAAGAGCAACTGAGCACTAGCCGAGTGCTGCAAATCTCCGGAGAGAAAAACAACATACACATGTAGGTCCCTGGTTACATCATTCCTCCTTCGCCGTCTCTAAAGCTCGTGGCCTACTTTCACTCTGACAGAAAAGAAACAGGCTTGAATGGTCCGTGGGACAGATAGAAATGTTGTCACAGAATATTTCAATTGTTTGCAAATTTCCATGCTCAAATTTTGGGTCACTCGAGTTCCGAAGTCTAAGATCCCTCAGTTCAGTGTTCATGAGGTGATTATGAAACAGAATTTCTGCCCCTTCGGTTGTTTTTAAAGAAATTTATAGGATGGAAACTCCGAATGTGGTCAGAGCTCTGATGCATTCACAGGATGACTTAAGCTGCAGTCATCATTTTCATGCCTTTGAGGTGCCATCACACAGTATCGCTGTTTGCCCGTCTCGTCAACATGCTCATAGAGCTGTGTGTGTCACAGGCAGCACAGTTGCATACTGTGACTGTCTGCAACATGCTCCTGCTTTGGGAGCCTTCAATTTGACGCCTTGAACATTCCTCGGGTCACTCCAACTGGATCTGACAGGCTGTGAGCAGTTCTTCCTCTTTGTTCCCTCTGTCTTTGTGGTCCAAACTCGCTGTGGCTCTTCTTTCTTCCATTCTCCATTCACGCTGTATCTTATTCAGTGTTGACGGGGGGCCGGAGCCTATCCCAGATACTATTGGGCAAGAGGCAGGATACACCCCGGACAGGTCGCCAGCCCATCACAGAGAAAAACAACCGCATACACTCAAACTCACTAAGATGGTAAATTTATTGTAATAATTTGATATGGATATTTTTAAACTGTAAGGAGAAGCATGAGTACCCAACTGCTAGACAGAGAGAACATACAAATTCCGAATAGACAAACAATGATTCATAAAAGAAACCTCCTTGCCGTTGAGCGTGTGTAACGGTGCTAACTGTCACAGCAGCCGGTCATGACACTTCCTTTATCCTTATTGATGTTCCAGAAAAGCAACTCCTCACTAAGCAAACACAACTTTACTGCTGGAAAAGGAAGACAACATGCTGGGCTTCCATAACCTGCATAATGGTTTAATTACATTTTTGGTCCCCGATGATAGTATCCCCTTACTACTGTTACTGAAAGCTACAAAAAAATTGTTGGCAATAAAAATATGGTTCATAATTTTCTCTGCAGATATAAAGTTAAAAATGCTCTTTGCAAAACAAGGTGTTTTATATTGTTATTGTATATGCGTTATATATTATGTGCTGTTATGTTGTGAGCCAAAATGCATGAATTGCTTGTGATCTATTTAAAAGGGTAAAAAAAAGTTTATTACAGAGACCCCAGCCTGAATTGAAATATCAGTTGCAAATGTATGAATTACTACGTGTGGGGGGCTTTATCCTCAGCTCCATAGGGATACAGTTAATCAGGCTGATAGCATCCAACCCACTCAGACCTGATGCTGCATTCAGGGATTCTTCATTTCAGACTTCACTTCTGACTCATTTAATCTCAAGGATAAAAACAATTCAACATACTGTGGTGAAATCAACCTAATTATCAATTCAAGCTATTTTTTCCCTTATACACAATCATATTTGGGATCAGGGATATCACAATGCAGAAGGTTCAGTATTTTACACAATGAAACTTCACATGTAAGCTATTCTTTTTTAGCTTGAAAACATTTGTAAACGTACTCTGATGGACTGCAAACTGACTAATGTATCCTAATGTGACAATGGGACCAGCAGGCTATTATTATCCATCCCTAACATATCTTCAATAAGTTCATTGGCTGTGACAAAGTGACTTGACTTGGACCCCAGAAGGAAAGAGACAACCCGTATTATAGAAGGTGAGACACTTGTTGCTCTTTATCACTAATTTAATACTAACGTTAAAAATACAACAGGAGCAGCTCTTACCAGAACAGTGTCACCCTGGATGATACACAAATCCCATTAATTTCCATTCAACTGAGGTGCAGGCAGGAATTGGTGAGACTTTTCTTAAAAAACTGAGTAAATGTGAGCACATCGGAATGAAGTAACTTTTGAACAAATAAATAATCATATCCTTTAAACTGATATGAATCTGCCACCATTTATTGTTGTGACAGCCCCCAGATAGCTTGATGTCATTCTTCGCTCCTCCATTTTGAGACACTTTCCCGCCTTGGTCTGCTGCCCCGATCAACCGCCCCGACAAAGCAGGTGGGAATGTGAGAGGGGGAGAGAGAGGAAGGCGGAGGGGGAGAGAAAGGAAGGCGGAGGGGGACCGAAGGGTGTAGAATGGGTGGGGAGAGTCAGTGTGGTGAGGCAGCCTATACTTGGGTCTGATTCTTACTCCACCCCCTCTTGCACCACCACCCTACACAAACAGAGCTTTCCTGTCTCTCTAGACACAAACAACAGAGCAGAGAGTTGTCTGCTGCTTTAGACTTGAGTAAAAACACATACAGCCACTTGCGTACGGCACACTCTGAACCGGTTAAAGCAAACAGGTGTACACAGATCAAGCAAATATGGATTAACGATGATTTTAAAAAGCTGAATAAGAGCGCTCTGCTTAGCGCAGCTGCCTTCAGCCGCCCTGACCATAACGGCTACAGGTTAAAGGGCAGCATTCGCTTTTCAGAGCAGCTAAAACAACAGCAAGTCAAACCAGTTTAATAAAGCGCTGAAGCAGTCAGACTTAAAGGAATCCCTTCATACTTTTTCTCTTGATAACAGACACACCCATCGATAATAAAAGGCTGATGGATGGAAGTGGCTTTATGCAACCAAAACTCCCTGGTGCACGTTATTTGGCCCTTTGAAAAAACCTTAATCCATTCGGCAGCTTCACTTGATCTGAGAGCTGTGAAAGCTGCCTGATGAATGCTGGGTAACATCAACTGGGAGCTGGCGAGTCAATCAAAGTCTCTGTCACATGTTCAGGCACAACCACTAACAAGGCCGGAAGAGGGAGAAACGCAGGAAATTCTCAGCATTCCTGACAGGAAGAGATAATCACCCCATGACCCAAAGTGTGGAATAATGCCAGGCACCAAGAGGGAATATGATCTATGGCGAAGCTTGAAACTTCAGAGGTTGTCCTCTCTACTATAGCTTTAAAGGCACACAAATATGCAGACAGAAAACACAAAGCACAAACAACAACTTAAGACGTGAAAAATCTGATGAGTTAAAGTGCATTATGTTTTAGAGGTTTGGGTGAGGATATTCCCTCTTAAATGCCTCCAGCTGAAACAAACGCCATATCCTTGCTATGGGCAGTAGATCTCTAACTACTGAGACATCACCAATGTAATTGCCAAGATTTTAGATCAAATTTTAGATCAAATCCAAACCTGACAACATCAGAACACCGATTTCTGTTCTGAAAAGGGTTCCCCGATTGCATTCATTAGGAT